GGAGCAGACTCACTAGCACCTAGGGCTGCAGCCCTTATACCGGGGTCAATACCAGGGTCAGGCGGCACACACAAGTAACAGTCACCCTCAGCACTAACAGTCAATGCATACATGGCAGCAAGAATAACATCATAGTCCAGATCAAAGATAGGCACATCACGCCTAAGCAGCTCTGCCCAGTTGGGGAACTCAGTAGCATCAGGATACTTGGCACGCCAGGCGTCACTAAGCCTAGCAAAACAACGGTACTCAGTGTGAAAACCGTTGCAGGGGCGACCCTTGCGGGGGCCAGTACGAATGACATAGGGGCAGCGGTCAGAACCCCGAGACGCCCCACGCCCAGCATACCAGTCATTGAGCTGCTGGGAGGTGAGGGGAGGAAGCTGCTGCTGCTGCTGTGGCTGCTGCTGCTGCTGGCCACCAGTGGGGCCACCCTTCTGGCCAGATCCACCCCCACTCCCACCTCCACCGCCACTGCCGCTGCCTCCTCCCCCACCACCGCCGCCGCCGCCTCCACCGCCCCCGGTCCTGCCGCCACCCCACCCACCGCCTCCACCCCCACGGCCACCCCCACCACCTCCACCACCCCCGCCGCCTCCACCACCGCTCCCTCCACCGCCACCTCCGCCACCCCTGCCACCCTTGCCGCCCCTGCCACCACCACGCTTCCCACCAGGAGCGGAAGCCGCTGCGACCTTCTCCGCACCGAGGAAGTCGACAGCAGTAGCAGCAGAGGCGTAGGAGGGGTCAAGAGGGGAGGGGGAGCACCCCTCAAAGAGGGGAGTGCGGGGAGTGCCACGAGCAGCACCGACAGCGAGGATGTTCTTCTCTGCTGCGACCAGCTGCTGCTCGAAGTCGTCCAGAGTGATAGTTGGAGGATCCTTGGCAAGGAAGTGATCCCTGACAGAGCGAAGAGTGTCAGGGAGGCGGGTGACGAGGATGTAGAGGGTGAAGTACAGCGGGGGGGTGTTCGTGGCGAGGAACTCGTCGGTAAGAGCGGCTCGAAAGCGGGCGTCACTAGCGCGGAGGTGAGTGATAAGGTCGGCAGCAGTGTGAAACGAGGCTAAGTCTGGGAACAGGTAAGGCAGGATGAGACTACCAACGGTGGCTGTGGCCGGGGCGGAATAGCGGGCAACGACAGCATCATACAGCGTCTTAGCCAGGGCCTCAGATTGGTTTCAGGGTACCCTGACCTATCAGGGCTGTATCCTAAAATATAAAACTTTATCCTGAGGCTTCAGCGCTGGATGTAATGGTTTCCCTGATTTTTCAGGGCTAAATTAAGTTTCATAATTAAGAAAGGAAGTATCAGCACGGTTTCCCGTGCAGCTCGGTCATGGCCTAGTTGTTTGAATCTGCGAATTGTCACAGTGGAAGTATGGAGATCAATTCCCGCTTGCGTCGCGCATAGCGGACTGTGTGAACGAGCGGGATTTTCTTGTTATAAGACATTTCTGTGCTACTGTTCAGTGTTACAGGTACACCTTTATCTTAATTCCTCAGTGTAGGATACAGCCTAATACTGAAAGTTCAGGGCTGTATTTTATGTTATCCTGATTTTCCAGCACTGGCACCCCAACTCTATCCTGAAATCAGGGTAATCAGGATAATTTATCCTGATATCTGAGGGCCTGGTCTTAGCAGTCTTAAGCTGGTTGAAATGCGCGCGCTCAGAGATCGGTAGGTGATTGCGAATAACAAGGCGCGCGACTGCATCGCGGAGCTCCCACTGTGCTCGTTCAGGGGCAGGAGCAGTCTCAGCGGGAGTAGGGACAGTGCCGGTCACATAGGCTAGCAGTGATACTCCGTCTGCGACGTCAGTCATAAGGTAAAGCCGCAGATCACTAAGCCAGGTGTCAAACTCGATGGGGCGGCCGTCAGGCTCAAAGGCGAGAACAGTAAGGGTCGCCATGGTTGCAGCGCAGGCAAAAGTAGCAGGCTCAGGCAGCAGGCTCAGGCAGCAGGCAAAGGCAGATAGGAAAAAACAGGGTAAACCCTAAACCCCGGACGCAATGCACGGGGCAGCAGTGCGCTGTACGAGCGACGAACGCGACTTGCAGGGCCTAGGTGGGCTGCGCGCGGACGGTAGGTGCAGTGCGCAGCTCTGGAGCAGGCCGCGCAGGCAGCGAACGCGACGCGCGGGGCCTAAACGGGCTGCGCGCGAGCGACGAACGCGACGCGCGGGCTGCAGACGGGCTGCGCGGGGCCTTAGCGGGCTGCGTAAGGCAGCGACGGGCCGCGCGCGGGCTGCGCGGGCGACGGACGGGGCGCGACGCGGCTGGCAGCAGCAGTGCGCGCTAAAAAAAAAGGCGTGCGCGCGCAGCCGAGGCGCGCGCGGGCAGCAGGCTAGGCAGACAAACAGGCAAGGCAGGTAGGCAGGCCGTTGGTGAGGTAACTTAGTAACTGGTGGGCCCTTGAACTTAGGTCCTAAGAACCTGCTGGTACGGATAAATGCTTCAGGTACGGAAAGATCCTCTGATGGCGCCTTTTCTGTAAACCAGCAGCGCCACAACAACCAGCGAGGCTACAGCCACGAGCCAAGCCGTGACTACACATAATCACAATCTCACCCAGGGCATTCACTTCACACACGTATGCACAGAGAACTGCTTCAGGTACGGTAAGTCCCTCTTCTGCTGCCGCCTTTTGTGTAAACCAGCAGCGCCACAACAACTAGAGAGGAAACAGCCACGAGCCAAGCCATCACTAGGGCCGTCACACAGCCGCCCGGCACGAGACCAATGAGCATCTGCCACGTGGCATGGGTTGAAGGGGCGAGTGAGTGATTGTGTAAGTGATAAGAGTGAGTGAACGAGTGAGCGGTAACAAGTTTCAGTTAAGTCATGTAGCTCAAAACAAGAGCAGAACATTCAAGGCACACAAAACGATAAGCAAAGAGGGCCAAAGAGAAGCAATGAAACTCACGGCACCGCTGCTGTTGCATGAATCGCAGGAGTTTTCATCTCTTGAGGGGTGGATGGAAGGGAGTCAGCTTAAAAGCATGTCTCACTGCAAGTAGGAGCGAGGAAACTCACACACACTGCTAATGCTGCATGAATCGCAGGAGCCTTCATGTCTTGAGGAGTGGATGGAAGGGAGTCAGCTTAAAAGCATGTCTCACTACAAGTAGGAGCGAGGAAACTCACACACACTGCTAATGCTGCATGAATCGCAGGAGCCTTCATGTCTTGAGGAGTGGATGGAAGGGAGTCAGCTTAATAGAATGCCTCACTACTACAAGTGGGAGCGAGGAAACTCACACACACTGCTGCTGCTGCATGAATTGCAGGAGCCTTCATCTCTTGAGGCGTAGAGGGAAGGGAGAAGCGCCATTCTGACACCTGCCCCACCTGCCCAGCCTGCCCCAACTGCCCGGCCTGCCCGACCTGCCCGAACTGCCCGACCTGTCCAGCCTGCCCGAACTGCCCCTCATCTGCTGCTTGTGTGCCCCCTGCTGCTGCCTCTGTACTCCTTAAAGGCTGCCTCTCTTGCTCTGCCGCTGCTGCTCTGCTTGACTGCACGCCTTCTGTCCCCTTTATAAGCTGCACCTTATGTACATCATAAGCCAGCACCATTCCCAAGGAGTGTATTATGAGAAACGCTGCAGAGGCGATGGCTGGAGAAAAGGGGGGACGTAGAAAGCAGAGGGAGAGAGGCACGTGGAGTGGAAGAGAGAGGGGGAGAGAGGAGGAGAAAGAACGTTGTAAACCAGCATCATCATCATCCCCAGGGAGTGTATTATGAGGAACGCTGCAGACGAAATGGCTAGACATAGAGGGATGGCGGAAAAGAGAGTGGAGGAGAGAAGGAGAGAGAAGGAAGCGCGAAACTCATGAGCCAGCACCATCCCCAGAGAGAGTATTATGAGGAAGGATGCAGAGGCAAAGGCTGGAAAAGGGGGAGGTTGTATAGGAAACGGAGGAGGGACGAATGAGAAGGAGAGGGAAAACAGGGGGATGAGAAGGAGAGTGGAGAGCTGAGGAGGGAAAAAGAAGACTGTTGCTGGAGTAGAAGAGGTGGGCGAGAAGACCCACCCGTCCCCACACACCCCCTCCCCACATCCCCACACCCCCCCCTCCCCTCCCTCCCACATCCACCCCTTCCCACGTCGTACCTGCAAGCAGAACGAGGGGCAGTTGAGGGCAGCGCCAGGAGTAGAAGGTCGCAGGGCCGATGGCGGGTGAGGAGACGCTGAGGAAGAGGAAGAGGGAGTGGGCTATCCCATGGCCTAGACCAGCAGCTGTGGGGGAGGGTAGGGGGGAAAGGGGTGAGAGCAGGGGTAAGGAAAGACAACACGAGTGGGTACTGTGATGGTTGGGGAGGGAGAGCGACCGATGGTGGGTGAAATGATGCTGAGGAAGAGGAAGAGCGAGTATCCAATGACCCAAGCCAGTAGCTGTAGAGAGGGGGGGAAAGGCGTGTGGGCAGGGATAGGAGAGGGGCTGATGGCTGGTAGCTAATGGTGAAGATACACTGAGGAAGAGGAAGAGGGAGCGCGCGATGCCATGGCCTAGACCAGTAGCTGTAGACACGGGAAGGGGAGAGGGGAAAAGGTGGTTGTAAGGATGAGGGGAAGAGAATGCAGGGAAGCTGAGGAAGAGGAAGAGAGAGTGAGCGATTTCATGGCCTAGACCAAAAGTTGTATTTTGAGTCGACTCAAAACTCGACTTAACACACAGGGAGTGAGCGATTTCATGACCTAGACCAGTAGTTGTAGAGGACCGGGGGAGGGAAAGGGAGGGGGGTTGTACTTTCTTAAGTGATACTAAGTGCTTACCGAGGGAGAGGTGGAAAGTGTTGAGAGGGGAAAGTGCGGGCAGGCGTCTTGCAGCTGCTATGGTGTTTAGACCACGCTCCAAGCGACTGGGGGTTGGGGGGAAGAAGGGGCGGAAAAAAGGGAGGAAGAAAAGGAGGAATGAAGGGGAAAAAATATGAGAGCGGGGTGCTGAAAGCCGCAGGCTTATAAGGAAAACTCTGAAAGGGGGGTGCTAAAAAGCAGGATGATTACAAGAGAATTTGGCAAAGGCACTGTTGAGAGACCTCTTGGGCAGCAACGGCAGAGAGGAGGAGGAGGAGATGTGGGGATTAACATAGCGGCCTTGTCAAGGAACAGGTTGGTGCTTAGAAAAAATGCGTACAAGAGGATTTGGCAGAGCAGCTGGCGGGAGAGCTCTTGACCCGCGATGGCTGAGAGAATGAGGAGGAGGAGGAGGAGGAGGAGGAGGAGGAGGAGGAGGAGGAGGAGGAGGAGGAGGAGGAGGAGGAGGAGGAGGAGGAGGAGGAGGAGGAGGAGGAGGAGGAGGAGGAGGAGGAGGAGGAGGAAGAGGAGGAGGAGGAAGAGGAGGAAGAAGGAGGAGGAAGGAGCGAAAGCAGAGGTATGGGAAACAATAGATTGACTTAAAGGAAGCCAGGGGCTTACAAGAGTATTTGGCAGAGCAGCTGGCGGGATAGTTCTTGGCCGGCGACAGCAGAGAGAAGGAGGAGGAGGAGGAAGAAGTCGGAGGATGAACCATGGATATACGGAGATTGTCTAGGGATAAGCGGGGGCTTACAAGAGGATTTGGCAGAGCAGCTGGTGGGAGCTCTTGGCCAGTGACGGCTGAGAGAATGAGGAGGAGGAGGAGGAAGAGTAAGAAGTGGAAGCATGGGGAATTAGGAGCTTGATTGAGAAGGTGGGCACTTACAAGAGAATCTGGCAGAGCAGCTGCCTGGATAGCTCTTGGCCGGAGATGGCTGAGAGGATGAGGAGGAGGAGGAAGAAGAGGGAGAGGAAAAAGCAGGCGCATGGGAAATAGGGAGATAGGGAAGCAGGGCCTTACAAGAGGATTTGACAGAGCAGCTGCCTTGAGACCTCTTGGCCGGCGACGGCAGAGAGGATGAGGAGGAGGAAGGAGCGGATACACGGGAAACAGGATATCGACTTAAGAGAGGCTCGGACTTACAATAATATTTGACAGAGCAGCCAGCGGGATAGCTCTTGGCCGGCAACAACAGGAAGGAGAGGATGAGGAGGAAGAGGCGGAGAAGGAGGAGGTGTCGAAAATAAGAATGAGCCTTGACAAGGGGAATGGAGTGCTCACACCAATATACCTACAAGAGTATTTGGCAGAGCAGCTGTCTAGATAGCTCTTGGCCGGCGACGGCAGAGAGGATGAGGAGGAGGAGGAAGAAATCGGAGAGAGATGTGAGGGCGATGAAGGGACGCCAGAGGAAGGCAATTGCGAGGAGTGTAATTAGCCAGTAGAAGGTGCTGTTGGTGGGGAGGAGAGGGGGGAACGGAAAGAAAGGAGGGGACAATGAGAGAGAGGTGTGAGGGCGATGAAGGTACGCCAGCGGAAGGCAATTGCGAGGAGTGTGTTGAGCCAACAGAAATTGCTGTTGGTGGGGAGCAGATGGGGAGGGGAGAGGGGAGGGGAAGGGGAGGAGAACATGAGGGAGAAAGCGCTAAGTGTGGTGTGGAGGGATGCGGGGAGATGCGAAGATGGGGTGATGCGAGGATGCGGTGAGATAAAAGCGGGTGGAGACACGCTGCTTCGACCGATTTCATTCTGCTTCGACCGATTTCAAGCTGCTTCGAGGAAAGAGGCTAGAAAAATAATGGAGAATACACCCTGCTGCTACACACAGTTTCTGTACCTACCTGCTCGCTGTTCACTCTAACCTGTTACTTCATGGCCAAAATTCAGCAAATGCTCTGTGATGCTAAAAACATGTGGTTCGCCGTGACTGTAAGCACCTTGTGAGAGTAACGAGCGAGAGGAACGCCTGTCGCGACACGGTAACAGCGATCACAGCAATGGCCGGTCCGAAGCCAATCAGAAACGCGCCGCAAAACGCGGCGAATGTCATCTCGGCCGACCAGTCGTCGGTCGAGAAAAGGCTAAGACGATTCAGGAATCTCGGCTAACCCATAACGCTAATAAATTTTACTTGCCAAGTAATGCTTCTGTGATGAAAATCCGTTTTGCCTGATGGTTCTAGGAGGCAAGTATTCGCCTTAGGGCGGGTCATACTCATTTCACTTTGGCGGTTTCACACCCCTGTAACAAAATCCCAACTTTTCGGGTGACGATCAGTCAATCCGAAGCCAAATACGTTCCATGTCCTGGAGGGTGAACGCGGACCCAGCATCCCGCCCACACAAACTGAATTGAACAGAACACATTGGCTTCGTGAAGAGGAAAATCGTCGCTAGGGTAACTTGGGTATTGAGAACCAATCGTTTCAATCTGCGAAGAGCATATCACTCGCTCGAATCCGGTACACCCTGTTACCGGCAAGTGAGATTGCGGGTTAGGGTGTCAAAGCTGCCCAGTCTGCAATTATTTCGGAAAATTTACGGGTGAGAAATGTGATCTGGCACGGGACTCGTTTTGCAAGTTGGGAAACCGATCGCGTCATCCAGTTTGATTTCAAAATTTGACGCGGTAACCCTACAAAAAAGGGTAATGAGCTGAGGTGTGATGAGTTGGACCCGCCCTTAGGGCGGGGGCAGCGCGTTATTCGTCTGAATAGATTCCAGAGCTGGGACGCTAACGAAAGCTGCATTCATCGATGTTACCGTTGAATTGAAACTGTTTGTCAAACAACAAAATTCATTCCGGGAGTCGTTCCTTGCTGATCAGGGTCGTTTCTTGTGTCGAACTTGTGTCAGGGTTTGTCCGTCGTTCGTTCACAGGTTCACGCCTGTGGGTGAAACCTTGTGCCGAATTTTTGCTGCAGTGAAATGCCTACAAAAGCGCGTAGTACACTTGTTTCATGAATGCTTGGATCGTATAGTAAGATTTAGGTCGTATCCCAGCCTGGTGGCAAGAAAGTTGGTAGCAAGAAGTTCGCGCACGGGATTGGTGAAAAAAACTGTTGACCAATCGCATTGGCCGAGCATCTGTTTTGGACCAATCGCATGCGCAATTCTCTTGCCACCAACTTCTTGCCACCACGCTGGGATACGACCTTAGGTTGAAAGTTGCTCCACGATGACACTACTACTCCATTTCATTTCTAAGCTCATGAGACATAGTTGATGCTTGTCAAATGTTGTAGCCTATAGTGAGGTTTGTCTTAGGGGGTACAAAACTTAGGGTTAGCTATATGTACCCCAACCAACATCAATGCATCATCCATTCCTCATTTTGACATGGTATCAGTTAGGTTAGGATCCTGTGGGATCCCGTTCCTCCGTTCTCCGTTCGTATCTCCCGAGCCTGATCCTACCTCTCGTTCGTACCGGTTCCGTTGTTACCGCGCCTAGTGCCGAGCCTAGCGCCCTTCCCCCCGTCGCCTAGCGCCCTTTCCCCCCCGTCACGTCGCGCCCTTTCCCCCCGTTGCGTCGCGCCCGTTCCCCCCCGTCGAGTCGCGCCCTTTTCCCCCCGTCGCGTCGCGCTCTTTCCCCCCGTCGCGTCGCGCTCTTTCCCCCCGTCGCGTCGCGCCCTTTCCCACCGTCGCGTCGCGCCCTTTCCCCCCGTCACGTCGCCCTGCCCCGTCCCGTCGCCCTGCCCCGTCGCGTCGCCCTGCCCCGTCGCGTCGCCCTGCCCCGTCGCGTCGCCCTGCCCCGTCGCGTCGCCCTGCCCCGTCGCATCGCGCCCGCCCTTTCCCCCGTCCCGTCGACCCTACGCCCTGGCCCGTCGCTCTAGCCCGCTCTTCCGCTGCGACTAAGTCCCCCCCCCCCCCCCCCCCCCCCCACCTGAACCCTAATTTGCCTCTTACCTCCTGCTGTTACTCGCCTGCTCGTTCGCGTTAGTTCTCGCTATGGCGACTCCGCGAGTTCTTCGTTTCGACGCTGACGGTAGACCTCTTGACTTTTCCGTCTGGCTTCTTCGCGCTCGCCGTCTGTTAGAGAGTCAAGTCCAGGGGGGCGAGACCCTCTGGTCGCACGCTACTGGTGACCTCCCCGAGCCCCCCGAGCCTGCCGCTTTAGGTCCTGCCCCTGACGATGCTGCTACGGCTCGCTTTGCCCGTCAGCGCGCTGACAGGACGGCTTGGACGTCGCGTGACGCTGCGGCCTGCATCGCACTCAGCAGCCTCCTCCCTGAGTCAGAGGAGGTCCACTTCACTCAGGTTCGCACCGCTGCTGCGTACCTCACTGCGATTAAGGCCCGCTACTCTACTCCCGCTACTGTCTCTCTTGGCCGTCTTTTCCTCCCGTTCCTGTTTCCTGATCTCGCCTCGTTTGAGCGCTCTGCTGACTTGATCGCTCACCTCCGCTCGCTCGACGCTAGTTACCGCGCTGCTTGCACTGAGGCACAGCTTGCACTGCTTCCTCCTCCCATGGCGATTACTATCTATTTCATCGCCACTAGCCTCCCTGACCGCCTTGCCTCCGTTCGTGACGCGCTCCTGCTGAAGCACCCTAGTGAGCTGACAGTCGAGGTCCTTGAGTCTGCGCTCAAGGACGTAGAGAGCAACCTTCGCTCGGTAGCTGCCGCCTCTGGTGCTGTGCCCCCCCCACTCTTCCACGGGTGCACAGTCCCGCAGTTACCCACCTTCACTGCCTCTCTTGCCACTGCCGCTACTGACGCGACTGCAGCTGCTGTTACGACTGCGTCGCGGTCCCGCGGCAAGGGGGGCAAGAAAGGTGGTTCTGGTGGAGGTGGAGGCGGAGGTAGCGGAGGTAGTGGGGGTGCTGTTGCGACTGGCGGTGGTGGGAGTGCAGCGTCTGGAGAGACCTCTCGTGCAGCGGCTGGTGACTCCACTGCGCCTGCTGGTGGTGGCAACCCCCGAGCTCGTCAGTCGTCTCCTGTACTGCCGGCCCCGCTAGGTGGAGCAGCGGCGTGGTACCAGGCTCAGCGTCAGCAGCAGCTTCAGCAGCACCAGCAGCCCCTCTCCTCCCAGCAGCCTCAGCAGCAGCAGCGGCAGCAGCTGGCTCCGGGGTCGGGGCTGCGTCAGCCCCAGCGTGGTGCTGCTTACCCTCCCTGCACCTATCAGGTTCTGACAGGTCCTCGTCGGGGCCACCCTTGTGGCCGCTTTCACCCCCCTGGTCAGTGCTTTGCTCAGCTCACTGACACGGTCCGGTTGGCCTACGGGGTTGGCGGTCCTGCCCTTGACTGGCTTCCTCTGGTTCAGCGCTACGGCTCCGCTCTGTGGGGCATGTCTGCTGAGCAGTTAGTTGATCTGATTGGTGCTCCTCATGCTATGTATGCTGTTGTTGACTCTAGTGTTTCTGACTCTGCTTACTCTGGTGTTGTTAGCTTAGGTGCTAGCCTTGCTCCGTTGCCTGTTGCTAGTGTAGGTTCTTGTGTAGACTCTAGTCCAGCGGCTACCTCAGAGGACGGTTCGCTGTCGTTCACGCTGGACTCTGGAGCCTCTCACTGCTTCTTTCGTGACAGCACGACACTTACGCCTCTTCCTGCGCCTGTTTCTGTGGCGCTGGCTGATCCCACTTCGGGACCAGTCACCGCGCGTCACACTACCACCTTGCCGTGTCCGGCTGCTCCTTCTGGGTCTCTCACTGGGTTTCACGTCCCCTCGTTCTCCCGGAACTTGGTGGGCGTGCGACCCCTCGTGAGTCAGCACGTGGGTGTGTGGTTTGAGCCTTCTGGAGAGACTGCGGTGTGTGTTGACGGGGACTCTTACCAGCCCCTCGCCACTTTTGCTGCTGAGCCGGGCTCCGGTCTCTACACTCTTCACACTGGCCCGCGCGCTCAGCAGCGACTGCAGCAGCAGCAGCAGCCAGCAGCAGCAGCAGCAGCAGCAGCCGCAGCCGCAGCCACAGCGGCCGCCGTCGCAGCAGCCACTCCTCCCAGTTCCTGTCCCTCCCCCTAGTCTCCTCCCTGCGTCTCACCAGGTGGTTCCGTCCCCTCAGGTTGTCGCGTCCAGTCCAGTCGCTGCGTCTTGCTCCTGTCGGTCGCTTGCCCACCCCACCGTTCTGTGGCACCACCGGATGGGACACCCTTCTCTTCCACGTCTGCGTGCTATGTCTAGTCAGCGTCTGGTCTTAGGTCTCCCGCGTGTCTTGCCGTCGCTGCCGCCGTCCCTTGCACCACCGTGCGGTCCTTGCGTCGAGGGTAGGCTGCGTGCCACCCCTCACTCCTCCTCCCTTCGTCCGGCCACCGAGCCTTTTGAGACGCTGCACTTGGACGTCTGGGGCCCCTCTCCTCGCCCTGGCCCTGAGCGTGAGCGTTTCTTTTTGGTGGTCGTTGACGACTACTCCCGCTACACCACAGTGTTCCCCCTGGCGAGGAAGTCTGAGGTGACTTCTACGCTGATCAGGTGGTTGCTTACCACCCAGGACGCTCGTGGTCGTCGTGTCAGCTGTCTCCACTCCGACCGCGGGGGCGAGTTTCGCTCCGGCATTCTCGCTGGATTCTGTCGCGAACAGGGCATTCGTCAGTCCTGGACGCTTCCGGAGTCCCCACAGCAGAATGGGGTTGCTGAGCGTCGCATAGGCCTGGTCATGGAGATTGCCCGCACCTCCTTGACTCACGCCCGTGCCCCCCATTTCCTGTGGCCATACGCGGTCAGGTACGCCGCGCACCAGCTGAACCTCTGGCCACGCGTCTCTCGGCCGGAGGCTTCACCGACCAGTCTTTGGACAGGGTCCCCTGGTGTCGCGTCGAGGTTTCGTGTCTGGGGGTGCTTGGCTCTTGTCCGCGACACCTCCGCGGACAAGCTCTCGCCTCGCGCCGTTCCTTGTGTCTTCCTTGGTTTCCCTGAGGACTCCTCTGACTTCACCTTTTACCACCCTCCCTCTCACCGGTTCTTTGACTCCCGTGACGTCCGTTTCGAGGAGTCCACCCCCTACTACGTCAGGTACCCCAGTCGAGGTCTCCCGGTCCCTCCCCCCCCTCTCTTCCTGACCGCCGCTCCCCCGCCTGCTCCCCCGGTACAGCCTCCCCCCCCTGGTCCAGCCCCGTCTGGTGTGTCTCAGGCTAGCCCTCCCCCTTCGGTAGCCCCCCCTGTACAGCCTCCCTCCCCACAGTCTTCCTTGCAGCCTCCTGCAGGTGCTCCCTCTCGGGAGGTTGGTCCTGCGACTGTCCCTGTACAGGTCTCTGGTTCTGGGGGTGCTGGAGTTGGAGCTGAGCCGCGGGTTGCAGAGGACTCTTGTCTTCCGGGGGCTGGTACTGGTCGTGCGGAGTCTGGGGGTGCTGGTGCGGAGTCTGGGGGTGCTGCGTCTGGGGGTGAGGGTGTCCCTTCGGTTTCTGGAGAGCCTGGGTCTGGAGCTGGTGTTGGTGCTGCCTCTGGGGGTGGTGTGCTTGGTGCTTCGGAGGTCGACTCTGGGGCTGCCGCTGCCCCGGACACTACTCCTTCCCCCCACCCCTACCCGACCAGGTTCCAGGCTCGTGTTCGCCGTGCTCGTGAGGAGCAGCTGGAGTTGGAGAGAGAGGAGAGAGAGTTGCAGCGGCTCGAGGAGCAGGAGCGACAGCAGCAGGAGCAGCAGCAGGAGCAGCAGCAGGGGCAGCAGCCGCTGGAGCAGCAGCAGCCGCAGCAGCCGCAGCAGCAGCAGCTGCCGTCTCCTCCTCCTGTCTCGGGTCTTCGGACCCTTGGTCTCCCCTCTCCCTCTCCTTCCTCCTCCCCCTCTCCTCCCGTCTCTGGTCCTCCGCTTCCTCCTCCTGACCCCTCTCCCGCTGTTTTCCCTCGTTCTCAGTCTTCGTTGTCCCCTCCTCCTTCTCAGACTTGGGCCTCTCGTCGCTCCCCTCGTGCTCGTCCCTCGTCTCCTGTTCCCTTCACTGACCTTCGTACTGCCTTACTTCGTTCTAGTCCACCTCGTCCGTCTCCGTCTGTGCTTCCGTCTCCTCCTGAGTCGGCTCTCACTGCGTCGCTCCCTACTCCTGTCACTGACTACTACCGCACGTACCGTCCTGTTCTCTCTCGTGTTCTCGCCTCTCTTGTTACCCACCCTCGTGCCTCTGTGTCCTCTGTGTCCGCTCTTACTGCCGCAGTCACTGAGTTTGCCTCTACCCGCCGCCTTGACTTCGCCACCGCTCTTGTGGCTGCTCCTCCTTCCAGTCCTCTGGCCGTCGGGGGTGTGTCTGCCCTTGGCTGTGACGCCCTAGAGGACAGGCAGTTTGAGCTAGAGTTCCTGGCGGCCGCTTCCCCTCATCTCTGTGCCATGCTCCTCGCCCCTGAGGGTGACCCCGACGCCCTTGACATTCCGACTCCTCGCACTTACGCTGAGGCAGTGTCAGGGCCTTGGGCCTCTCAGTGGAGAGCTGCCATGGACGCAGAGATGGCCTCCTACAGATCCACAGGCACCTACGTCGATGAGGTTCCCCCTCCGGGGGCGAACGTAGTCGACGGCATGTGGATCTACAGGGTGAAGCGGCCACCGGGATCTCCTCCGGTCTTCAAGGCGCGCTACGTGGCTAGAGGTTTCAGTCAGCGCGAGGGAGTTGACTTCTTTCAGACCTTCGCGCCCACCCCGAAGATGACCACTCTTCGGGTGTTACTACACGTAGCAGCACAGAGAGACTACGAGTTACACTCTCTCGACTTCTCTACTGCTTTCCTTCAGGGCAGTCTTCACGAGGAGGTCTGGTTGCGTCGTCCCTCTGCCTTCACTGGCTCTTTCCCTCCTGGGACCCAGTGGAGGCTGAGGCGACCGGTTTACGGTCTTCGTCAGGCTCCTCGTGAGTGGCACGACACCCTGCGTTCTACCCTGTCTGACCTTGGGTTCCAGCCGTCTTCTGCTGACCCGTCGCTGTTCGTTCGTCGTGGCCCCACACCTTTCTTTGTTCTGGTCTACGTTGACGACCTTGTTTTCGCCACCCCTGACAGGGTTGCTTTGGCACACGTGAAGTCCGAACTGCAGAAGAGACACACCTGCACTGATCTTGGTGAGCTGCGCCACTACCTTGGCCTGCAGATCACCAGGGACAGAGCTGCTCGCACCATTACACTTTCACAGTCGCACATGGTGCAGCAGGTCCTTCAGCGGTTCGGGCTTCAGCACTCCACAGTACAGCGCACACCTCTTGCTGTTGACCACAGACTCACTGGACCCTTTCCTGACGAGCCGTTCGAGCCTAGTGGTCCCTACGCAGAGCTTGTGGGTTGCCTCATGTACCTGATGACTTGTACTCGCCTGGACCTCGCCTTCCCTCTCAGCGTTCTTGCGCGCTTTGTTGCGCCAGGGAGACACCGTCCTGTTCACTGGACAGCAGCTGTGAGGGTGGCGAAGTACCTAGCGACGACGTCAGGCGTGGGGCTAGTTCTTGGAGGGCAGCAGTCTGTCGTACTTACTGGTCACTGTGACTCCTCTTACGCTGACGACGCTGAGACTCACAGGTCTACTCAGGGGTACTGTTTCAGCCTGGGTTCTGGAGCTGTTTCCTGGCGGTCCACGCGCTCCTCTTCGGTCTCGACCTCTACAGCTGAGGCTGAGATCTACGCTGGTGCCATGGCGGCACAGGAGCTGCGTTGGTTGACCTTCTTGCTCACCGACCTTGGTGAGCGGCCGAGCTCTGCACCGACCTTGTTCACTGACAACAAGGCGTCTATTCTCCTTTGTCGAGAGCCACGACTGGAGAGCAGAGTGAAGCACATTCACGTCAGGTACTTTCTTCTGCGAGAGTTGCAGAGGCGTGGACAGGCTCGCTTTGAGTTTGTGGAGTCCGAGGCCAACACTGCAGACATCTTCACCAAGGCGCTTCCGCCTTGTGACCACCAGAGGTGCTGTGTGCAGTTAGGCCTTGTTGACACTGGTTCTCGTGTTGCTTAGACTTGAGTGTACTGTTTACTTTGCTTTCTATATACCTCTGTTACTTCTTGGACTGGCCTTGTGGCCACTGTTGTTTGTGCTCAGACTGTGTGGTGACGTTGTGATCCACCCTGAGCTTCGTTTCTTGGACTGGTCTTGTGACCGTACTCGTGTGGTTCTGCTAGACACCCCTCACTTAGGCTATGGGGGTGTGTCAAATGTTGTAGCCTATAGTGAGGTTTGTCTTAGGGGGTACAAAACTTAGGGTTAGCTATATGTACCCCAACCAACATCAATGCATCATCCATTCCTCATTTTGACAATGCTCTAGTCTAAGAACATGAACAAAAAAAGCATTCATTTCCAAGAGCTTCTGGAAGCAGTTTGCTTCAACTACCACATATCCGTTGCAACTGCCGAAGTGTACACGCCTATTCCAGCTTTTGCAATCATGAATCTCTAAAAGGCAGTGTATCGATCCTGCCCTGCATCTCTTTGTCTAAAAGTTTGAAACCGCACCACACCGCACTCCACCCATCCTTCATTGCTCGCTATACATAGCAGACTGCTCCGACAGTGTAGCTTCCCGCTGGTTACCGCCCGTAACACCAGCAGCAGGGGCGAGGGCTTCAGCAGGCAGCAGGTCGCACTGAGCCACGTGCTGCAGCAGCTGATCTGCCAGCACCAGCGCTACCATTGCTTCCACCATAGGGACAGCTGCAGAGAGGGAAGGAGTGGAGGAGAGAAGGGTTGGGGAGGAGGAAAGGGAAGGAGCTGAGCAACGGCCATCAGCATGCAGCAGGTCGCACTGAGCCACGTGCTGCAGCAGCTGATCTGCCAGGACCAGCGCTACCATCGCTCCAATCATAGCGACAGCTGAATGGGAGGGCGAAACGGGCACAAGGGCATACAGTGGAAAGCAAGGGAGTAAGGACCATGTGACATACATGGCCTTTCTTACAGAACCTTTCATCCACAGCAGCCAATGCTTCCTGAGGAACCACCCACCTCTGGAACCAACACCCCTGTCACCGCAACCCACCTCTGGGCACCACGCAGGGGTCGTGCCGGCCACGTGCCTTGAGCTCTGTCTCGACGCCCTCACGAGTCACCGTGCGCTGACTCCTCTGTTGGCGTGCAGAGAAGGGGAAACGGGGTAAAGGATGAAGGGCATTTTTCAAGAAGCCTTATTCTCTGGGGATCAGCATAGTGAGTCTCCATGCTGTCACTATTTGAGACACCATCACGAGTCATTGTTCGAGATGCCCCATCCCTGTCAGCATAGTGAGTCTCCACGCCGTGACGAGTCAGAGTCTTGAAAATCAGGGGCGTCAAGACGAGTCATGATCGAGACACCATCACGAGTCATAGTTCGAGATGCATCCCTGGATGCCCCTGCATGCTCAGATGGTGCTTGCACCAGTGCGTATGAGTCAAGAAAGCAATGATCCAGTCCAGACTCACCGTGATGGTGGAAGTAGGCTTAACAGTGCTCTCCCCATTCGAGATGCCTCCCTGAATGCTACCCAAAGGCTATCTGAATTCACCCACCCTCCCCCCCCTCCCCTCGACCTCTGGTTGTAGGACCAGCTCAACCAGTCTTGATGTGCCAATGCAAGTGAGTTCCACGACAAGCTTACTGTGATGGTAGACGTGGGTTTGAATGCCACGCGGACCACTATCTTCTCCCCATTCGAGATGCCTCCCTGAATGCCCACTGAATGCCCTCCCTATGAATGCACCCTCACCGTGATGGTGGAGGTGGGTTTGAACGCCACGCGCACCACAATGTTCTCCCCGTTCGAGATGCCCCCCTGAATGCCCCCCGAGCAGTTGGTGAGAGTGCGAATGGCACCATCAGGAGCCACATGTGATAGCATACAAACTCACCGTGATGGTGGACGTGGGTTTGAACGCCACGCGCACCACCCTATGTTCTCCCCATTCGAGATGCCCCCCTGAATGCCGCCCTTCAACTCACCCGATCCAAATGAGCCGGCACAAGAGCGATTCAGTATAGACATACCGTGATGGTAGACGTCGGTTTGAATGCCACGCGCACCACAATGTTCTCCCCGTTTGAGATGCCCCCCTGAATGCCCCCCGAGCGGTTAGTGCGCGTGCGAATGGCCCCGCCCGGAGCCACATAGAACTCGTCATTATGCTCACTTCCCAGCATGCGCGTGCCTGGGGGATGGGAAAGGGAAGGATGGAGGAGATTGGAAGAAATCAGGGTTGCAAAGTGGTGGTTCACGGAATAGGAAGTGAGGTGCAACATCAGGAGCAACATAGAACTCGTCATTATGCTCACTTCCCAGCATGCGCGTGCCTGTAGGACGGGGGTGAAAGAACAGGCGATGGATGCGTGAATGAAGGCCATATGGCAGGAAACAAGCTGAGCGGTAGCTGCGCATGCGAATGGCGCCAGCTGGGGCAACGTAGAACTCGTCGTTGTGCTCACTGCCTAGCATGCGCGTGCCTGGGGAGTGGGTGGGGGTGGAGGGTATAGTGGGTAGGGGAAGGGAGGAGAAGAATCGGTGTGTTCGAGTGCGGTTTGTGCGCGTGCGGATGGCCTGTCTGGAGCAACGTAGAACTCGTCGTTATGCTCGCTGCCCAGCATGCGCGTGCCTGGGGGAGAGAGACGGATGGGTGAATGAACAGCCACATGGCAGGAAACAAGCTGAGCGGTAGCTGCGCGTGCGAATGGCGCTGCCTGGGGCAACATAGAACTCGTCGTTGTGCTCACTGCCTAGCATGCGCGTGCCTGGGGTGGGGGTGAGGCGGGGGAATTAGGGGAGTGGGGGGATGAAAGTCAGTGAGTGCGGATGGCCCCATCTGCAGCCACGTAAAACTCGTCATTGTGTTCGCTTCCCAGCATGAGCGTGCCTGTAGGAGGGGGAAGGGAGAGGGTGGGGAAGGGGGGAGGGGGTTATGGGAGAGGCCTGGAGTTAACAGTCCAGCGAGTGAGTGCTGCGGATGACCCTGAACTACGTAGAACCGGTTCGGTTCGACCAGGAGAATATTTTTAAGACGTCTCAAAAACACCCTCCTTTCATAAGGTTCGGTTTGACCAGGGTGGTAGTTCAACCCGGTTTGACTTTCGAGACGTCTCAAAAGTCGACCAAGAGGGTAGTTTGACCCTGTTTGACCCGAAATGGTTCCGATTCGGTACTTGCTCATGTTCAATCCCTTGTGTGGATGGGAAACTTACTCAAATACGCCAAATAATGCACTCCCGATTTCAAACGCCACCTCAGACGAATCAGAAAGCATACCTGAGAAGCCGCTCCCAATCTCGAACCCCTTGGTGGCGGGCAGAGACATGAGTGCCCGTGCTAGCTCTGCTTCCAGCTTGTCAAACACTGGCGAGCCCAGCCCCTGGTTGGGGGGGAGGGGGTTTGGGGGGTGTAAGGGAGGAGGGAAAGAGGAGGAATGGTGAGAGACATGAGTGCCCGTGCTAGCTCTGCTTCCAGCTTGTCAAACACTGGCGAGCCTAGCCCCTGGTGGGGGGGGTGAGGAGGAAGGAGGGACGGGAATAAGAAAGCGAGGCAGCAACGGAGGAGAAAAGTGGAATGGCAAGAGACATGAGCGCTCGGGCTAGCTCGGCTCCCAGCTTGTCAAACACAGGCGAACCCAGCCCCTGGTGGGGGGGTGAGGGGAGGAGAGGAGAGAGTGAGAGATGGAGAAAGGAAGGAGGAAAGTGGAATGAGGAGAGCTGAGGGTTTGTGCTAGCTCTGCTTCCAGCTTGTCAAACACAGGCAAGCCCAGTCCCTGGTGTGGGGGGACGGGAGGGGGAGGGGAAGAGCAAAGGATGAGGGAAAGAGGAAGGGGAATGGCAAGAGACATGAGCGCTCGGGCTAGCTCTGCTTCCAGCTTGTCAAACACAGGCGAGCCCAGCCCCTGGTGGGGGAGAGAGAGATGAGGGGAGGAGAGAGAGAGCAAGGGAGGAGGGAGGGAGGAAAGTGGAATGATGAGACATGAGCGCCCGTGCTAGCTCGGCCTCTAGCTTGTCAAACACCGGCGACACCAGTCCCTGGTGGTGGGGGAGGTGAGTGGGGGAGGAGAGAGGGAGAAATGGAGGAGGGAAGGAGGAAAGTGGAATGATGAAAGATGAGGGTTTGTGCGGGCCCAATCCCTGGTGGGGGGGATGAGGAGGAAGGAGGGACGGGAATAAGGAAGGGGGGGAGCAATGGAGGAGGAAAGTGGAATGTTAAGTGACATGAGTGCTCGTGCCAGCCAGCTCTGCTTCCAGCTTGTCAAACCCAGGCCAGCACAAGTTGTGAGATGTTTCACAGCCTCTACCTCTAGTTTGTCAAATTCAGGCCAGCAAAAGCACAACCTACCTTGATCGCCACCCATCTTACCCGGGGAACATTCCTGGCCACGCAGGTGACCACGCCACCACATGAGTCGGCCTTGACCCTCACAACATCTACATGCCCACTGCTCTGCCCTGCCGCCTTGTGGGGATCCTTTCCCTTCAACCTAGTTTCACCACCACACTTCACCAATCTCACTCACCCGCGGAACGTTCCTGGCCACGCACGTCACCATGCCGCCACATGAATCGCCCTTCACCTTCACAGCTCCATCAATGGCGCGCTCTGCATTCACCACCTCCTTTCACCGCTCTTCACCACACTTCACCAATCTCACTCACCCGCGGAACGTTCCTCGCCACGCACGTCACCACGCCACCACACGAGTCTCCCTTCACCCTCACAGCATCAATAGCATCAATCATTTTCTCGGCCACTGCCGCATTGGGGCAACGCACTATGTTGGCCTCAACCTGAGGCCGGGGGGGGCGGGGAGGGGGGGTTGGGCGGGCAAAGAGGGGAATTGGGGGTATTGGGTTGACTTTCACCCTCACAGCGTCAATGGCAGCGATCGTTTTTTTCCGCCACTGCCGCATCAGGGCACCGCACTATGTTGCTCTCCACCTGATACGGCGAGAGGAGAGAGGCGGAAAGGGGGAAGGGGCTGAGGAAAGGGGTGGGTGGTGGGTGTTGGGTTTGACTTTCACCCTCACAGCGTCAATGGCATCGATCGGTTTTTTCCGCCACTGCCGCAACATCGCCGATGCGGCAGTGGCAACGCACTATGTTGCTCTCCACCTGATGCCGGGGGGAGAGGGAGAGGTGGGGGGGAGAAAAGGGATGTTGGGTTTGCCCTTCACCCTCACGCAAGATGTTGCTCTCAACCTGATGCCAGTAGTCAGGGAAGAAGCAAGGAGGAGGTGCTGAGCTTCCCAGGAGGGGAAACACAGGAAGATCACCATCAAGGGGCACGAAGATGCTGAGCTTCCCTCTCACAGTCCCCACTGGTCTAGTGTGACTGTATCGAGATCAGTGGCATCCGGTTGACTTTTGGGTCGACTCAAAAGTCCCACCTGGTCTAGTGTGACTCTATCGAGATGAGTGGCATCCTCTGGTAGTTCAGCCAGCTGGTTGAGTGATTTAATACATTGTTATGTTCACACCGTTTGATTCACACCCGTTCCTCCATTTCAATCTTGCCTGGCCCAGTGTGACTGTATCGAGGCCGTTGGCATCCTCTGGCAGGTTGACATTTGGAGTGTCAGAATTTCTTGGCGTGATTTTGCATTCGCTTTTCCATCTTAGTACCACCCACCTGATCCAGTGTGACTGTATCGAGGTCAATAGCATCCTCTGGCAGGTCCACATGGTGCACTTGTGACACAAACGCGAGCACCTGGCGAGAGAGAGAAAGGGGGGAGGGGGGGAGGGCGACCGGAGGAGAAGAGAGATTTCAGGTGAGAGCCATAGAGAGATGGACACACATGGTGCACGTGGTGCACGTGGTGCACGTGGTGCACGTGGTGCACGTGGTGCACGTGGTGCACGTGGTGCACGTGGTGCACGTGGTGCACTTGAGACACAACGCGAGCACCTGGCGAGAGGTGGGGAGTGGAAGAAGGGGGAGGGGGGGGGGGGGGGGGGAGAGAGAGGGAGGGCAAAGGTGGGGGAAGGAAGAGGAGGAAGAGAGGCTTCCGGGTTCAGACAAGACAGGAGTTTGGAAGGTCAACGTTATGCACGTGGGACACAGACGCGAGCACCCAGCTAAGGCATCATCACAAACAACGGAATCCCACGTCTGTGATGCTGCCAGCATGACAATCCTATCAGCCACGCACGGCTTTCAGACACCTCTCCTCTGGAACTGACCAACCAAGAAAAAGTGAGGAAGACATAAGCAGCAGCTTACGTCAGTGCCTGAGTGGAGGGCCAGAAGCTTCTTGGCAATTGCGCCTGCCGCCACTCGGCCAATAGTTTCGCGAGCTGATGACCTGCCTCCTCCCTGAGTGTATGGGGGTGGGTGATGTGAGGTTTCAGCAGGGGGGGAAGTGGGTGGAGAGGGAAAAAGTGCAGGGGGGGGAGAGGGAAGGAGGGAGAGGGAATGGGGGAAAGGAGAGGGAGGGGAAAAAGGGCCACGGAGCAGGGGGTAGAAAGATTTTGAAGGAATAGCAGCATTTGCTCGTTGGTGGCTCGAGCTGACCTATGTGAAACATGCATTTCACGACACATCGATTTGAAAAAAGGTGAGCATGTTGACTTCTTCATCCCTCCTCCGCCGCCTCACCTGAATGGCTCGCACGTGTAAAAAGATTTTTTTTGAGACGTCTCAAAAATCACGCCATACCTGAAGTCGTACGTTGCATCGACAAGGTGACGTCTCACCTTCATTTCATGTTGCCTTCCCCCCACTTTATTGCTCCTCCATCCCTCCTCCTCACCTGAATGGCCCGCACGCCGTACTTGAAGTCGTATGTTGCATCGGCATGGGACGGGCGGTAAGCCACTGCAATCTCAGAGTAGTCCTGAAAGGGGTGGGGCGTGGTAGGTGGTACAAGGGGGTGGGAGTTGGTTGAAGGGCAGTAGGCCACTGCAATCTCAGAGTAGTCCTGATTCCTGAAAGGGGTGGGGCGTGGTACAAGGGGGTGGGAGTTGGTTGAAGGGCGGTAGGCCACTGCAATCTCAGAGTAGTCCTGTAAGGGGTGGGGCGTGGTACAAGGGGGTGGGAGTTGGTTGAAGGGCGGTAGGCCACTGCAATCTCAGAGTAGTCCTGAAAGGGGTGGGGCGTGGTACAAGGGTGTGGGAGTGGGAGTTAGTTGAAGGGCGGTAGGCCACTGCAATCTCAGAGTAGTCCTGAACGCGGGTTAGTATTCAGGGAATGGAGGTTGGGGGTTAGGGGGAATGGTGAAAAGCAAAGTGCTTCATGAGATCAACAGTACTGAGAGACACAGGAACATTTTCGCGACTTTTGAGGCGCCTCAAAATGAGATCAACAGTGTTGAGACACACAGGAACAATTTCGCGTCACATAGAAAAGTAGTTTCGACCCAAACCCAACACATTTAACTCGTTCTAATCTCGACACAGGAACATTTTCGCGTCACTTCAGTGATAAACTCGCTCTCTCCACGGCACCTTGCTTCTTCCAAATAACAGTCCTCCTGCCAGACAAGCCGCCTCCCAAAAGCTCGCTGGCTCTAAGAGCACCTAGAAAGCCACGAACCAGGAAATGATGTCTCTTGAAGCGTCATTGTCTGAAGCGTCATTTCCTGGCGTCTCTTGACCTGCTCTTGAGGACATGACTTTTCAGGCGTCTCAAATCAAACCTTTTCAAGCCTTCCTTTCTACATACAAATAGCATGTCACCAAACATCCAGCCGCTTCCCTTAAGCTCTTAAGCTCTTGTGCTGCTCCCATTCTCCCCTCCCTCCCCCTCTGCTCCTCCCTTCACTCAATCTCCCCTCTCCTCACTTCCACCCACCCCTCACTTTCTATGCTCCTGTACAGCTCCCACCCTCTTCCACCACCTCCTCATTTCCCCTCTACGACTTACCCCTCCCCGCTGATCCTGGTTTGGCACGAGAACAGCGATGGGTGTTCCGAGCGTCACTCCTGCAGCAGACGATGCATGGTCGTAGAAGAGACAGGAAAGCGAGGAGCGTGAGGTGAGGAAAGTGAGGAGAGTCAAGCAAGTGTTTGTGAGGAGGCTCGAATGACAAAAAGTGCAGTGCAATTGGTGTTCAAGCGTCACTCCTACAGACAATGCACGGCTGGGGAAGAGACAGGAAAGAGAGGAGCGTGAGGTGAGGAAAGTGAGGAGAGTCAAGCAAGTGATTGTGAGGAGGCTCAAACGATAAAAATTGCAGTGCAATTGGTGTTCAAGCGTGAGACAATGCACGGTTGGGGAAGATACAGGAAAGAGAGGAGCGTGAGGAGAAGCAAGCAAGTGACGGGGGAGAGTGAGGAGAATGAGAAGTGTAAGGAATGCGAGGTGTTTGAGAAGAGTAAGAGGGGTGCAGAGTGAGAGGGAGAGAGAGAAGACCGAGAGATGGAGGAGGAGGGGCAGGTATTCAGGATACTGTCGAAAGTGGGGAGGGTGAAGAGGGTGCGAAGCGCGAGGGCGGTGAGAAGAGTGAGGAGTGGAGAGACAGGAGGAGAATGGATCAACTAACATTCCGTCACAAAACGTCGTACCATCAGCAGTGCCTGACAGAATCCGGCACGTGTCTGTCTCCTTGCGAGGAGTGGTGATGCGCGACTGGCCCGGCCGACTGCCACGGAGGGAAGAGGAAGGGAGAGGTGGGAAGAGGAGAGGGAGGGAGAGGTGGGAAGAGGAGAGGAAGGGAGAGGTGGCAAGAGGAAGAGGAAGGGAGAAGAAAGGAAGTTGTATTGAGCTGAGGTTCGAATCGAGGTGACTCGACGCACACGTGTCACCAGGGGTATACTATCAGTCAGGTCAGGGGTGGGTTCCACGGAAAACCATTGGCATTGCCACATGCCACCTGTCCAGGTCGACCTGCAGGTCCTTCTCTGTGAGGCTCAGACGTGCTCCGAGTAAAGAAAAAACAGAGACTTACAGTAACTGTAATCCCATCCGCATTGCCACATACAGCCTGTCCAGTTCGACCTGGAAGTCCTGCTCTGCGAGCGTCAGATGTGCTTTGTTTACGAAAAAAACAGAGCTTTACACTAACGGAGCTTTATACTAACGGGGCTTTACACTAACTGCAATCCATCTCCTTGTCACCGCCTGTCCAGTTCGACCTGGAGGTCCTTCTCCGCGCGCGAGAGACGTGCTTCGAGAAAAAAAGGTACAAAATAAATCTTCAACCGAATTGTCACATACCGCCTGTCCAGGTCGACCTGAAGGTCCTTCTCTGTGCGCGAGAGACGTGTTCCCTTACAGTACACTGTGACCTTGTCACGCATCCATTGATGCATTCTAAAAAACACGTTTTGAAGCCGATTCAACTATCACATACCGCCTGTCCAGGTCGACCTGGAGGTCCTTCTCTGTGAGTGGCAGGCGCGGGGGGCAACCGTCGACGACACAGCCTACTCCTCCGCCGTGCGATTCGCCGAATGTGGTAACCCGAAATGCGGTGCCGAAGGTGTTACCCGCCGCGCGGACAGCTGGAATTGCCAACAAAACGAGCAGAAAGGATAAGAAAAAGTGGAACTGATGATACCTTAAGAAATTACGCTAAATAAGACGCGGAGGCAGGGGCAAGAGCTGGAACTACGGAATTGAGGAGCGCGAGACGATCTAGAAGAATGGTTTGGAAATGTACTTGGATTCCGTCGGTTTGGAGTGGTTCGAACCAATCGCTGTCCGGCGTCAAAGCCTGAGCTTTCCCCGAAAAATGCGCCTCGCGAGACGTCGTTCCGAGCTGATCCCTTCCAGAACGACCTTCGAGGCGCGCTTGACGGACCGCCGCGAACTAACGGGGCGAGGGCTCTGCTCGTCGTGCACGCAATGGCAGCCTCCATGATTAGGGTTCGTGACGTTGCTACACGCGGAGCAGAATGTGGATTGTGATAACAATCAACGCGAGTTTCCTAAGGAGCAGCCCCAGACTATTGTAGAGGACACACCTAACGCAAGTCCTAAACACCTAATCAAGTCCCCCAGTTGCGCGGAAGAGAAAGAAAGGGAGCAGAAGGGACGAGTTGAAAGGCTTGAACCTGTCCACGATAACGGATAAGGGTGCTTCTAACGAGGAGTTCCGATTATGCACTAAAGCGAAAGTTGTTACAGATATTGTTCATGAAGTATGGAGTCTTATGTGTAAAGAATTTTTTGTATCGTAACAAAGTTTGGATGCTCGTCTTTGGTCAGTCTTGGCGCTTCAAGACAAGGTCCCGCGAGTTAGGGTGCGAGAAAAAAGCTGACGGTCTGCCACAACGTCCAGTCAACAAATTTCGGTGGAATGTGACTGGACTGGGCATCACGAACACAGTAACCACGTATCGTGTACATGTTAGCCATAGCAAACGGTTCGCCGAAGGCAGGAGCGGAATCAAGTGACCATAATGCGAACATCCAGCGAATTGAGATTTCGCCCACAAGCGAACCTGCCAAACCCCGCTGACTGGGAGGCGTGACCTAAATTTTTCACTGCCGTTCCACTCCACGCCTCCTTCCTGGCAGCGGCAAAATCAGGACAGCCCGTCAGTCAGCGGGGGGGAGGAGACCTTTTCGGCGGAGGGGCGGAACGGAAGCGGCAAAATCAGAGGGGGGACCCCTCGGTGGTAGGCGACCGTGCAAGTCGCGACGCGAGAGGGAAGGTTGCGTTGCGGGGAAGACACTGCCCAGTGCGCAGCGCATGCTTTCCCTCTCCGTTCTGTGTTCAGGTCTTGCGCATACTGTACTGTACCGTACTGTACTCCTTTCCCCCAATAGGTTCCCCTTCCCCCCTTCCCTGCGAACCACTCCCCTCCGCCTCACCCCGCGATAAACCTCTCCACACCGTCTAAATCTGCCCCACTCCACCCTACTCCGCTACATCCCCCTTCACTCACCTCCCACTTGTACCAACTTGGCAATGCAATCCCAAGATCATTCCTTGCGGGCTCGGCTGGATCGTTCCTTGCGTAGTCGGCAATTTCGAGGTTTCCTGGATGCCATTGCCAGTCCGCTAACAGCCAGCAGCTCCTAATCCGGCTTGGTCTCGTCACGACGCGCGACGATGCGACTTCGCTTCCCCAGAATGAGTACTTATGGCGTTGTTTGGGGTGGTTATTGTCAGTCCGATCAAACATCCGATTTTATATCTAGAGCACAGCATTCACCGAACCAGTTCGACTCTAGACCTTCAGCCAGTACTCGAACTCCCACAACACAGAAGCCCACGAATATCAGGAGATTAATTTGTCAGTTGAACCAAGCAGCAATAGATTTAGGTTATTCGAGTTTATTAAATCATCCATGGCGCAGCGGAACTCTCTGAGCGCCTTCGTTGAGAAATACGAAGTCAGGGAGGATCTGGGAAAGGGACAATTCGGCGTTGTTGCGGAATGCGTGGAGCGCAATTCCGGCAGGCGACTCGCCTGCAAGGTGGTCGCGGCGCGCAGGCAAGCAATGGACGCGGCGGGGCGCGAGGCGGTGGCGCTTTCGCTGCTGAAAGGGTGTGAAAATATTGTTACTCTCGAAGATGTCTTTATCGGGGAGGAGGGGAAGGGGATGGTGCTTGTAATGGAGCTTGCTACCGGCGGCGATCTTCTAACGCGGATAGAGCAGAAGGGACGGATTCCGGAGTCCGAGGCGCGTGACCTGTTCAAAGGAGTCGCCATGGCTTTAAAGCAGTGCCACGATAACGGGGTGATTCATCGTGACGTCAAGCCTGACAACGTGCTCCTGTTTCCCGCCAAATCTTCTCCCCTAGGGAAAATTCCCTCAGAAAGCGCTTCACCCACCAGTGTGTCTCCGAGGTTAACTCTAATAAGCGACTTCAGGGGACGAGGTTGCGAGTTCACGGCGAAGCTCGCGGATTTCGGCATCGCGAGGGTGCTTGCACCGGGGGAGAAGTCCGAGGGCTACGCGGGAAGCTTCCCTTATGAGGCTCCCGAGGTTATGGCGGGAAAACCGTACGATTTCTCTGCTGACATCTGGAGCCTCGGTGTAACTCTGTACGCTATGCTTTCGGGAAAATGGCCGACTTTCGCGAACGGTCGCCGTGCGTTTGACGAAGGCAAGGACTGGGACTCCCCATGCTGGTGGATTATATCAGGCCGAGCGAGGAATCTCATCCGTTCAATGCTCGCAACTGATCCGCAGATCCGACCGTCCATTGATGAGGTTCTAAGCGACCCTTGGGTTTGCAACAGCTCCTTCCTTCCATCCTCGTTCTCCATCTCTCCTTCTGGGAGTACCACCAAGCCAGCTGCCTCGGCCCCTGCTAGGACTGTCACCCCTGCAGCTGCATTTACCATCAAGCCTTCACCTGCCGATGCCGTTACACCCGCTGCACCTCCTAAGACCCGCCTCCCAGCAACTTGCGACCCCTCCTCTACCTTCATCTTCCCTCTTGCAACGCTCACGATCAAGACCACGTACAAAACCACGTGCAGCACGGTCAAGTCATGTAAGAGACTCGCTTCCGATGTGCTGCAGCGGAAGCAGTGGCGCCGGCACGGCGCGGTTACCAGCAAGCTCTCCCCGTGTGCCAGCAAACTCTCCCCCTGTGCCAGCAAGCTCTCTCCCTGCAACAGCTCACTATCGCGGCGTCACAGCAGCAGGTCGCAGCGAGGTTCCTTCTCGGCAGCTTCGGGGAGACTCAGTGTGCGGGTTGCTGCTGTGGCAGTTGCTGCAGTGGCAGTTGCTGCAGTGGGAGAGGCCTCTGCTGATGCGAGAGACGTTCAGTGGTCCTTTATGAGTGTGTGAAAAGGAGTCTCAAATGGTCTTCCTTCCAGACAGCTTCAGGGAGACTCGGTAGCTGGGTTGTTGTTGCAGTAAGAGGGACTGAGGCTGATTATGGCATGAGAGTGCCATGACCTGCACTTATGCAAAGGTGTACCTCTGTGCAGTGCAACATGGGAAGGACAGTGCGACATGGTAATTGTATATTGTGGGCAAGTTGGGTAATGGCTGCTGAAAGTGAGCTTTGACTAGGTTCGCACTTCAAAGGCGCCTAAAGAACACTGTTGAGGTGTTGACACCCTTGGATGTTCTTTCTGCGCCTCTGAATGTTTATCAACTTCTGAGCTTGCTTGTGTTAGTATAAAGGCACTGCATACACAATATCAGCAGATTTCTTCTGTTTTCTTCTACCTGGGCAACAAGACAGATCAATTTTATGTGGGTGCAGGGACTGGCTGAGAGGAAGGCAAGTATTTGCAGTGATCATCATCAGCGAAATCGCAGACCTGTTGAAGTAGGTAGAGGATCCTAGGCTTAGGAGAAACCCTAGCCTAGGAGAATGTCGAGAGGAACGAGAGGTGAGTTGGCCAAAAGGGGATGTTCACTATAGTGTGAGCAATACAAATAGGCAGGAATCAAGAAAGGTGCACCACCAAACAGAAAGTGATATGACTACAGTATTCTACACTACAGGCAGTTATAGAACAATATATAAAACTATATATTATTCTGACACGCCCCCATAAGTGCCTGTAGGGAAGAATATGCAATCAACGCCCCCATAATGGGGTACACCAGACAGAGTGCAGCGGAAGAAACAGTGGCAGGCAAAAGCAGTGATAGCCGGTGCAGAAGTGGCAGATCCAGTTGTACCAAACCCTCCGCCAAGGCAGAAACAAAAGCAGGTGTAGGAGCGGCAGGTCGCCTGAGGAGCAGGCTCTGTGGCTGCAACGTGCAGCAGGACAGCAGCGGCTCGACGGCAGCACCTGCAGGCCCCAACAGCAGGCAACAGAAGCAAAGGCAGCAAAGGAAGGTGGCGGCAGGGGCGGCAGCTGGAGGTGCCACATCAGCAGCGAGCGACAGCAGCAGATGACCGGCTGACTTCCGTCGCCCCCTCACTCTCCCCCCCACAGCGGCACGTGCGGCAGTGAGAGAGAGAGGAGGGGCGGCAGCTTCTTGCTCACACCCGCCACCCCAAACCCTCCCCCCCCCACTGCTGCACGCGCAGCAGGGAGAGAGAAGGGACGGCGTGTGGCAGGTTAGCGGTGTGGCGCAGCAGCGAACAGAGAGGCGTCAACCACCCTCGCGCCTCCCCCCCCCCTCCCTCCCCCCCCCACGACGAGAGTCGCGGAAGGGAGGGGAGGCGGCGTACGCTGCTGCTGGCGCTGGCGCTCGCAGAAGGCGCTGGTGCCGGTGCTGGCGGCCGTGTTGCGTAGGCGCTGGCGCTGGCGCACGCGCTGGCGCAGGTAGCTGGCGCACGCGCTGGCGCTTGCGCAGGTCGCTGGCGCACGCGCGGGCGCTGGCAGCTGGCGCACGGGCTGGCGCAGGTCGCCGGCGCACGCGCTGGTACCTTCGCACGCGCGGGCGCTGGTTGCTAGCGCACGCGCGGGCGCTGGTTGCTAGCGCACGCGCGGGCGCAGGTTGCTGGCGCACGCGCTGGCGCAGGCGCCGGCGCTTCGGGTCGCAGCAGGTCCGAAATCCGAAATTTTGCCAGTGAGAGCGCGGCGAGGCAAGCGTGGCGCAACGAACCAGCGAGGCGCTCGCCATGAGAGCGAGAAAAAAAAAAATCTTAGGCCCGAGGATCTAGTAGCTCTGATAACATGTTGAAGTAGGTAGAGGATCCTAGGCTTAGGAGAAACCCTAGCCTAGGAGAATGTCGAGAGTAACGAAGGTGAGTTGCCCAAAAGGGGATGTTCACTATAGTGTGAGCAATACAAATAGGCAGGAATCAAGAAAGGTGCACCACCAAACAGAAAGTGATATGACTACAGTATTCTACACTACAGGCAGTTATAGAACAATATATAAAACTATATATTATTCTGACAAGACCTTCAATAGTGCCTATCTGTAAACATACCCGTCTGGATCTTATTTTATGTTTCCATAAACCAACCCGTAGAGTTTCATCATCGATTCTTGCCTTCCATTCGCAATATCGGAGATCATTCAACCGTTGTTCTCCTAAGGGATATTCCACCCACCCGTGTCCATGACGAACCACGAAGTTCATCCGAGCCCTGGTGGGCGCATTTCCACCAGGTGCCTCCCTGGTGGAAACTCATTTCCACCAGGACGCGGAGCTGGTGGAAGCGATCTGCCCGGGGCAGAAAAAAACTAAACCCCATCGCGACCCGGATGCCGCTCGGGAGCCTCAACCCTAAGATCTTAGGGTTGAGGCTGTTGGAAACAATAAAACTTAAGCGCTTCAGTCGTGTCGAAACATCGCACCAGAAGTGAAGAAAACAATACCGAAGCAAGCGCGAGTCAACCCTCGGAGGTTGAGAGGTTGCTGGAGGTTACGCGAAAGTCAAAGGTCAAGCGACCTTTGACCCGACAAGTACAGCGCGACAGTTAAGGACACACAACTGACTCGTTACAGAGCAGTTGCCCGAGTCGTACTGTATCGAACCGCAACAGCAACATTAAAGTAGTCATAGCCGTATCCTTTCATATTCCTTGTACTATTATATAATCTTGTACTTCTTTGCTATAATCAATCTACTTTGCCCTCACATACTAGCGCAAGGTGGTTCACAAACTCTTCATTAAACGCTTCCGCTATTACAAAAGTTCCTACCCAGAGTTCACCCCTGAAAAGATCCTAAGGGCTTTTTCAGCCCAACATGGTATGAGAGCAAACAGGGGAAACTCCACTACTATCAAGTCATTACAAGACATGGCAACAAACAAGGAAAGGAGCTCCTCTAACGGCTCCCCAGGCACTACTCCTACCCCACCTCCTGCCTCTGGCCTGCAGACCAGGCCCCTAGATTCGTTTTGAGGTAGTCTGAGGCCTCAGAGTACACCCCTCTTCCTAGTCTGGCTGTCAGAGTTACCTATTTTTTTTAGTCTGAAAATTCAGACAAGCATAATTTTTTTTGTCTGAACTGTGAGAGTTACTTCAATTTAAGATGTTCATGCAGTTTGATAACAGCATAGCTATAATAGCATTGAAGCTGATTACAGCATACCAACGCGATTGTGCGGCCAGAAATGGGGCATTCTGATTGGTCATTTTTCTCGAGGTGTGGGCATCAGACAATGGCCTCGTGCAAGTGCCAAGTGTGGCAAGCTCACAATCAGCTGACCTGGCAGCAGGCACGGAATCGCTCGGAAGTTTTATGTGCTGGGCGCGCTGGCAGCAGCAAGAGTTTTTAACTGTGTACACCCTATGTGCGCGGAATATTTTCTCCTAAAGTTGCAGCTTCAAAATTTTGACTCGGTTTGGCAAGGGAAATGATGTGCAGTTCTACTGAAGTACGAGACTCATATGCGACAAGGCTTTCGTTTGCACCAATTCGCTTTTTGCCATGTGCGATTGCCTAGTTTCACAATTTAAGGGTTATTTACTATAAGCCCCCAACGAATTCCACACTCGAGATAGCGTCGACAAAGTAGTGTATTCTGGTGCCCCTACTCGAGCAGTTTTCTCCGGAGGAAATCGTTAGTGCTGGCCCGTACACACGTGGGTGTATCGAAAAGAAGTTTCGAGGAAGTTTCGTTCCGATAACCTTTCATTCAGGCTGGCGGAAACCACTGTATAACTGGTTTCAGAGTGGACCCCCGATACAAGTCTGAGGCTCAGCCTACACTACTATGACTACTCTGAAATTTCAGACAAGTCAGTTAAAAAAACTCTGGAAAATCAGACAGGGTGCATAAAAAAAATCTTTGAGTTCAGACTAGGTACAAAAAAAAAGTCTGAACGGACTCTGAATCAGACTCCAGAGTCTGATATCTAGGGCACTGCTGCAGACAGAGGAGGGCACGGCAACAAGGCCAAGGGTGACGTCTACTTAGACTCCCGCAAATCACCCCGCGGACTTCGACCAAAGCATGATGGAGAAATTCTTCTCCTTCATGTCCTTCTACGAGCAGCACCAGCAGTCGGGACCTGCACAGTCACACAACAGCAACAACAACGGAGCAACGCCCATGAGCCTCGACGGGTCGTCATATGCGCGCGGAAACCAACAGCAGCAACCTACCTTCGCCCCGTACGAGCGCGGGTCGATCAGCTTCATGCCGCAGCCTTCACCTGGACAAGACAAACCACTGGACGCATTACAAGTTCAATCACAATTCGCGCACGTACTGAAGCTGCAAACGTCAAGACCTTTCGACGGAAAGGACTTCTTCACCTGGTCATTCGAGTTCGAGTTGATGATGGAAGGCGCGCAGATACTCGGCTTCTTCGACGGGTCCCTGCAATACCCAGCAAACGGCACACAGTATGAGAAACAGCAGTATACGTATCAATCGATGATGGCGTATACGATTCTGCTGAGGAACGTCACACCAACTCAGCAGCAAAACATACGCTCTTACCGGGGATACGGCAACTCCGCCGAGCTCGCGTACAGCCACCTGAAGAGCCTGTATCAAGCAACAGACAGTGTAAACCAGAGCAGGTTAATGGCGCAGTTGACAACAGTTGAAATGAAACCGGGAGAAAAGGGGATGGCGTATATCAGCCGATGTCGCGAACTGCGCGACAAGCTTCTTCGATGCGGAGGGTCGATCTCTGAAGACGCCTTCGTGACAGTCATCATTGGCGGCCTCGGTCCCCAATGGCGCGCAACAAAGGCCATTCTTCGAGCCCACGGAAGAATTTCTGAAGCAGCACTCTGCGCCGAAATCCACGCCGAGCAGCAGGAATGGAACTGCAAGACGAACGACACAAGAAAAAGGCAACAGCATCAGAATTTGCATTCCACACCCAGCGACGCTACAACAACAACAATCATCGACAACAACAACCGAAGCCCGTACCTCCCTTCTGCCACATCTGCAAGACTTCA